ACACTCTTTTCCTGTCGTGATCATCTTTACGTTTGTGCGAGAATTTGCAAGGTTGGACACCCGAGTAGATCTATTCACATTGTATGATAGCAAGGAAGGTTAGAGCTTATAGAAAGAATGATGTACGCAGAATTTTTTTGCTTTTTGCAATTTTGCGCTCCAACAAAGCAGTGTGAAAACATCTTTACCCGTCGAGTGTGCTTCTAGATACAACACGAAATCATGCGGAAAGAAGGGAAAAAGGCTTTGTAAAGTGAACCTGGTTCTCTGGGGATGGATGTGCATATACACATTGAGTTTGCAGGGTTGTTCTCAGAGATAACATCATTAAATGCTTCCTTGCATCATCGTACATTATCATTCTTAGATTGGAAAAGGGAAGTGATCGTTGTAGGCAGGAAAAAAAAAAAAAAAAAAAAAAAAAAAAAAGAAAGAAAAAAAAAAAAGCATTGATTACGCTTTTAATAATCACGAATAGACAGATCGACTAACAAAGATGCAATCTTCCTGCTAGCAAGAAACGGGAATTCTGGATTTGAACAAATCACTGAAGAAACAGTTTTTATTTGCCGTGTGCCTGACTTTTAATAGACAGAAATAAGTACAGGGGGCACCAAAACATCGCCATGGACAAAAGTGGTATCGCCCCACTGCACTAACGTTACTTTCAACATGTCGAAAATGCCTAAAGGAAATGATTTAAGGCTGAATGATAAAGATATGATTATGATCTGAAAGATTATGATAACGTTTGGTAAAAGCAGCCAAAGAAAAGCAGCTTTTAAAATGGGGATGTCCCAAACAGGTTTGCTGGTTTCTGATTAACATATATATGATATTCTATAAAGAATTATCTACTTCTAATAAAAACACATTATAGTAATATATAAAAAGAAACTTTATTAAATAAGATTAGTCATAACAAACCTTACCACAATCTACAAAACCATAACAAACTCTCTCTAGATGCCAGATACATTTTTAACTCATTCTTTTACAATTTAAGAAAATATCACTGTTGGCAAAATATTAAAACTTAAAATTTTACTTTATAAACAAATACTATCAATTCCCCCCTTATTTGTGTTTAAAGATATAATTTCAATCAGTCAGCCATGTCCATACCTCAATAGTTCATCTTTCAATTTCACCCTAGGTAGATACTTTGTTAAAATATCCGCTTCTTGATTTAGTGAGCACACAAACTGAGGAATGATTTGATTCTTTTCATATTCATCTTTTACAATGAAATATTTTCTATTATTGTGCCCTTGAACTACTACTTTGTTTTGGTTTTTTAATCCAATCTATTACTGCTTGACAGTCTGTTTTAATTTCTATTGATTTGTCAATTAGATCATCTTGCGCCAATTCTTCGAGTAAAAAAGATGTACCATTTAACTTCACATGAACATTCACAGAATGCTAAAAGTTCACCTTCCATTGTAGATAGATCAACTATTCTTTGTTTGTTGCACTTCCAATTTATGAAAATTTTTACCTAATTTAATGAAATAACTTCCAAATGATTTTCCATCTTCAGTGGTACACCAACTTGCATCTGATGTAGCATTTAATTTCCCATTGTCTGAAGTATATACTAAACAAGCATTTAGTGTTCCTTTCATATATCTAAATATCCTCTTCACAGCTTTCCAGTGTTTCTCTCTGAGATCTTGATAATATCTTGACAGATTACTTATGGAAAAAGCTAAGTCTGGCCTTGTGCCTGTTGCTAAGCGCATCAATGATCCTAATGCTTCTTGATATTTTGTCTTCGACACAGGTGGCGAAGACGCTATGTCATCAAGATTTTTACCCAATATTCCTGGTGTCTTGACAGGTTTACATTCACCCATTTCAAAGTTTTTTTAAGATTTTAGTTATATAGTTTTCTTGACTGAGTTAAGTTTTCCAGATTCTTGCCGGATGTCTATTCCTAAAAATTTGTGTGTTTCAGTGACTTCTCGTAATGTAAACGATTTAAATAGTTGAGAGATGGTGTCATTTATCTCAGAACTTGAATTCCCAATCACCATTAAGTCATCCACATGTATTGCTATGATAAGATAGTTGATCTTATCTTTATAAATACACTGACTACCAATAAGTATTTGGACACCTATGCAAATGACGATATCTGCGGTCCCAAGGTACGCCACGGACTCCGCCGGTATATATCGTGTAGGAAACAGCATCGGCTTTAGTCGCATGCAAGATGCCTCATAGCTCGGAGCTCTCTGATTTCGAGAAAGGTATAATTATCCGGTATCACAAATGTGGCCGATCCTTAAGGGACATATCTAGCGATATGAAGTACCTAATATCGACAGTGGCCTATGTGATTAAGAAGTGGAAGGTGAGGGGTGATTGTCGGAATGTGCCCCGAGTTGGCAGACCAACGAAACTGGGGGATAGAGACCGACGAGTGCTGTTCAGAGAAATTCGGAAGAACCGCACCCAACCGATAGCCCTCATCCGCGAGGAGTTTCAACAGGCATCCGGGAGTATTGTTTCAATGAATACCATCCGTAAGGAAGCACATCTGCTTGGTTTTCATGGTCGTGCTGCTGCCCATAAGCCTTTGATCACAAAGTCCAACCGCGCTGCTCGGTTAATGTGGTGCAAAGCACATCGAAATTGGACCGTAGATCAGTGGAAACGGGTTCTTTGGAGTGACGAATCAAGGTTCACCCTTTACCGTTCGCATGGCAGGGTCTGGGTCTGGCGTCTACCTGGAGAACGTCTCCTGCGAGAATGCATTGTGCCAACAGTCAAGTTCGGCACAGGTGGACTTATGGTCTGGGGGTGTTTCTCCTGGTATGGGCTGGGACCGTTGGTCCCCATTCATGGTAAGCTCAACTCCGATGCCTACTGCACTATTTTGGATGACAATGTGCTTCCTACGTTGCGGCAGTTTTACGGGTTGGACCCCTGTTACTTTCAGGACGACAATGCCAGTTGTCATGTTTCGACGTTAACCAAGGCTTGGTATGGTGGCAATGGAGTTCATCGAATGGACTGGCCTGCCCGGAGTCCAGACCTGAACCCTATCGAGAACCTCTGGGACGAGTTGCATCACCGAATTCAGGGGTGCACTACCCTTGCAAAATCAGAAAGAACTATGTCTTCTCCAAGCCGAGTGGAAGAAAATACCACTAGCTGTCATACAAAGACTTGTAGAAAGTATGCCCCGGAGGGTCCACGCTGTAAATACCTCTCGTAGAGGCTCTACCAACTATTGATTTTGAATATAGTTTTTCTTCTCTATCACAGGTGTCCAAATACTTATTGGTAGTCAGTGTATAAACACACAAATCTGACTTTAGCCTAGTTAAATTCCTTTCCTTAAGAACTTTACACAATTCAACATACCAGCACTTTCCTGATTGTGGTAATCCATATATACTTTTGTTTAAAAGATATACTTTGTTCGGATCTGATATAAATCCAGAGGATTGTTCCATGTAAATTGGTTTTATCCAAGTATCCATTTAAATATGCAGTTTTTACATCGAAAAATCTTATTTTTCAGTTTTTGTAAACTGCAATCGATAACAATGTTCTAAAGGATGCAAGTCTCATTACTGGACTAAATCCATCTTCATAATCAACTCCTTTTCTTTGATTAAATCCGGTTGCTACTAGTAATGCTTTGTAAATTGTGTCTAATTTACCCTTTTCGAGAATATCCAGCGATTTTTAATAACTTTCTTATCGAAGGGTCTTTCAACTAACTCCCAGACTTCATTAGCCTCCATTGAACTCAGTTCTTCTATCATTGCATGTAGCCAGAATTCACTTTCAGCAGATTCTACAGCTTCATCCATACGTCTTAGGTAATTCATTTGTATTGTACACTACGCAGTCTTTTAATTTTTCTGGGGGCTTCGTCGTTCGCGCTGATCTTTTCTGTACAGACTTTCCATGGCTATCATTTCCAGGTTCTTCATTTATTTGTTGATACTCTGTTGGCTTTTCCAAAGAATTCTTATTGTCGTGTCCATCATCAGTGTTGGATGGTAAAATTTTCTCAGCTTCTTCATCTGTTGTATTATCTTCTCTATGGTATCTGTCAGTTATTTCTGAATTGTTTACCCTGCCATTAGTTTGTTCCTTGTAAAAAATAATAAGTTCTTCTAATATCTGATTTTTATTGAATTTTAAATAATCTTCTTTTAGTAAAGGTGATCCGAGTTTCTGCTCATTAAATTTTATATCTCTTACTTCTTGAATTTTATTTAGTTCAGGAACATAAATTTTGTATGCTTTTCTCTTCATGCTATAGCTTATCATAAGTATTTTTTGAGCTTTTAGATCCATCTTTCTACGTTTTTCTCGTCTTATATGAACATATGCTTCACATCTAAATCTTTAAGATAAATAATGTTAGGCTTCCGTCCTTTTATATAGTTCATATGGTGTAAACGTTTTATCATTTTTGTGTCTCCTGTTATTCACCTGTACAGCTACGTTAACGCTTTCAGACCAAACTTTTATCGGTAATTCTGCATCAATTAACATAGTTCTAGCAGATTCAATTATAGTACGATTAAAACGTTCAGCTTTTCCATTACTTTCCGGAGTATAAGTGGTTGTAAGTTCATGTTTAATTCCCATTTTTTCAAAAAATTATTTTATACTTTTAGCTAAAAACTCACTACCATTATCACTACGAATTCTTTTTAGTTTCTTTCCAGTTTGTCTTTCTTCTTGGACTATAAGCTGCATTAGGGCTTTTGAAGTTTCACTCTTCTTTTCAATTGTTATCATAATCTTCTTTTCAATTGTTTTATAAATATGAAATTACTGTAATCATCTACCACTGTTAAAAAGTAACAGCTTCCATCTATTGATTTCTCAATTGGTCCAACTAAATCTATATGCCATAATTCTAAAATATCTTCAGATTGCTTAAATTTCACACTTTTATAAGCTGTTCGTGTCATTTTCCCTAATGTACAAGGTTCACAATTGTTTTGAGAAAATTTTTACATTTTTTAATCCAATGACCAATGAGTTTTTTTCATTTCTATCAGCCTTTGATAATTTATATGACCTACTCTCTGATGCCATAGTACATCATTAACATTACTAATTTTAGGTTCTTCAACTAAATTTCCTTCAACTTCAAATTTATTTCCATTTCTGTTAGCTATATATAGAATGTTTCCATGTTTACTGCTAACCTTTGCTTTAGTTTTGGTAAAAATTACTTTTAAATCATGATCTACAATTTTTGATACTGACGGCAGATTTTCACTTAAATTCGGTACTTGCAAAACATTATCGACTCTCAAGATGTTCTTATTTCTATCAGTTTGCATTTTAATGTTACCAATACCAACTCATTTGATCATGGCCCTTTTTTCAGCTGTCCATTATTTGTCGTTCTTTCATCTTTAAAATTAGTAAATATTTCTTTACTAGTTGCCATGTGAGATGCGGCTCCTGAATCAATAATCCATTTAATTTTTCTATTCTCTTATTCATCTATTTCCTTCTTTCCATTTGATTAAGACATGAGCTTTCTATTTTCTTAAATAATTCAGATAAGCATGTAGCTGATTCATCTTATTTTTCCTTGCTTGAAATTCTATAAGTCTTATTTGTTTAAATTTCTCTGCTTTGGATGTTCTTGTTTGGTTTTCATTTTACATTCAGTTGATTTGTGGCCGAATTTTCCACAGTTAAAGCACTTTTTATTGTTATTATTATTCCGACATTCTTTTACTAAATGTCCTAATTTTCCACAATTAAAGCATCTTCTTTCATATTTCGATTTTATCCAATTTTCTTTTGCCTTAGACCAATTCTATTTCTTTTCCTCTTTGTTTATTTTTTCCTTCTGTTTCTTTTCAAGCTTGTCTAATTGAAACTATATCCTTCCCTTTATTGCTTTTAATGACTTAACATCAAATTCAAATTTCTTTCTAAGTCCTTTTAGTATGAATTAAATTAATTCTTTATCTCTTATTTCATCTCCAACTTGAATACTTTTACTTTTTAGACTTACAGCTCTATTCATATAATCATCTGCAGATTCATTTTGACACATTTTCAGTTGAGCTAATTCTATTCTACATTTGATTTGATTATATTCTGTTCTTGCACCATTTCATTTTTTATTTTCTCCTATAACTTCTTTGCTTTCTATTCATCCGCATATTTTAACGCTTGTGGAGCTGTCATAGTTTGATTCATTACATTTCTTGCTATCGCATTATTATCATCCCATATTTCCCACGTTTTTATTTCACTTTCGAAGTTAACATTATCTCTTTTATATGGTTTTGGTGATTCATCAGCTTCTATTCCACTTCTCCATATTTTCAAACTTCTTAATTCACTTTCAATTCTATTTGCCCATAAAAGGTAATTATCATCAGTTAATTTTTCTATGTGACTCAAATTTATCATATTATATGCCATATTTTCTAATTTATATTCACTAATTATAATACAAGTCTAATTTATCTCTTAGAGAAATTTGCGATGTTGTTAAGCCTAAATAACATCAATTTTTTATATGAAAGTTCATCAACAGAGGGGTCAACCACGCTCTGCTACCAAATGTTGGTTTGTGATTGGCGTATAAATGATATTCTCTAAAGAATTATCTACTTCTAATAAAAACACATTATGGTAATATCTAAAAAGAAAACTTTATTAAATAAGATTAGTCATAACAAATTTTACCACATTCTACAAAACCATAACAAACTCTCTCTAGATGCCAGATACATTTTTTACCTCATTCTTTTACAATTTAAGAAAATATCAATGTTGCCAAAATATTAAAACTTAAAATTATACTTTATAAACAAATACTATCGAGGACTGTGAAATTTACTTAACCAAAGAAATAAAATTGATACAGAACTAACAAAAAATGCAAATGTCTCAAGAAAGCGCAAAAGGAGTGAAAAATTGAGAGACATTGAAACCGCTTTTCTAGAATGGTTTCAAGCTATAAGACTAAAAATGTTCCAATTTCTAGAGCTATTTTGAGCAAAAAATGTGTCGAATTCGGTAAAATGTTAGGAGAAAACTTTGTGCCAGCAGATGAATGGCTGATCATATGGATAGAGAGAAATAACAGTGTTTATCGGAAAATACAAGGTGAAAAGCAAGGGGCAGATCATCATTCGACTGAGAAATGGATAAAAGATATTTTACCCGGGCTTCTAAAATAATATAGGCCACACGAAATTTAAAACTAAGCTGTTTTAGAGAGCATTACCGGAGCACATATTAATGTTTAAATGTGAAACAACAGCTGGTTTTAAGAAATTAAAAGAACGAGTTGCTATCTTATTAACATGCAATATGGATGCAACAATTAGAAAGAAGCCTGCGGTTATTGGAAAGAGTAGGAAACCTGGATGTTTGAAAGAAGCCAAGAACTTAACTTACCATGATAACAAGAACTTATGGGTGACAAGCAGTGTTTTCACTGATTTCCTTTTGAAATGGGGGCTCACCAGCGGCCGAGCGGTAAAGTCGCTGAACCTTGGTAGTTCGGTCCAAGGTTCGAATCCAGTGAACGGGCTGGCTGCATGGGTGTTTTCGTGGTTTTCCCCATGTGTAACGTGTATACGAGCCAGTTCCCTTAGAAAGTCCTCCACGAAGGCATCCCAATCCTTAGGCAGGTAGCCCTAGTTTGTTTTGCCGTAATCTCAATAAAACAAACCAAACCAAACTATCTGAAATAGGACAAAAACTAAAAAACGAAAAAAATAACTTCACTGTTAGATAACTGTGCTACACACCCCTCTGATAACGTTCTGGAAACCATCAAATTAATGTTTGTTCCTGCAAATACGACTTCTGTCATTCAGCCATTAAACCAAGATATTGTAAAAACTTTCAAATATGTATAATTACGAAAAAGGTTTCGTTCAAAAAAAGATAAACAAAACCAAATCTTGTGAAAATGTAAACATTTCGAAGGGGATAACTAAGTCGATATCTTTGTTAGAGGCTATGCACGCATGGGTCAACGCGTAGGAAGCAGTCTCCCAAAACACAGTTAAAAATTGCTTCAAAAAATGTAAAGCCACAGAGGATTTGCTAACTATTTTTAATATTTCGGATATGAGTGTGAGGGAAATTACAAAACTTCGTTTTTAGAAGACGTTGCAATTAATGAAAATATTGAGACAACATGTGAAACACTGACCATGATATCATAGAAAGTGCTGAAAGAGCTGCAGAAACTGAAACTGACTGTGAAAGTGATACAGAAGAAAATGGACTATTTGCCAACCTCAGCTGAATCGAGAAAAGCACTGCAAACGCTAAGAAGACTCTTGAAATGAAAAGTGGAGATCATAAAAGCTCTCAACAGTTTCACGAACTTGAAGGACTGTAGGCGAACAATGCTGAAAAAATACGGATAGAGCAGTTCTTTATTTTAAAAGTTCATCAGGTATTTAATTAAAATTTTGGTACTTTTCTGTTTCGCCGGCGCAAATCTCGCCAAGAAGACTTTATTGGCGACAACATACCATATACAAGTATACACATAAAAAATGCTAGCAAATGTTAGTTCTAAGAATTTTTTATTTTGAAGGCATAAATATTTTAATATCGTTTAAATTTTCTAAAAAGCCAATAAATAAAGACAATAAATTTGTAAAACGATTTTAACTTAAGAATTTGCTATGCTTTCATGATTCAACAGCTTGATTCGCCGGTTCATATCACGTGAATTTAAGTGATCTCATCTCACGTAAACTATTCTACAAAAATCAATTTCTCTCAGTAATTATCTACATTAATTTCAAATTAAATCTTAATTTGGAATACAAGTTTAAATGCAGGAATTATTTCAATTCGTACAAATAGCTTACTCAGAAATTATGTAAAACCGCAGTGCTGTACTTCGCTAGTGCATTCTCATTAGAAGTTAACCCTTGACTTTGCCTTTCCATATTTTCGCCTTCGGGTGAGTGGTGTGATTGCATCTTAATCGACTTAATTATCGCGAATGGCCCTAGGGCATAAAATTGAACTACTGGGTAAAAGTTCTATGTAAAAGTTCTGGGTAAAAGTTGTATGCCACTATTGATAGAAACAATCAATCTGATAAGAAATAGCTTCGACTTGTTTTGAAGATGAGACGTAAAAGGTTACCTGCGAAGATATTCCGTCTGGCATCAATTGCACCATTATTCGCGACTTTATTGCCTTCCCCGGCAAAACGGAAAAGTACCAAAATTCTTTTATTAGAAAATAAATAAAAAATTAATTTTCAAATTTCATGAATAGTTTAATTTTAAAATTAATTTTTAATTGATAATTTAAGTATTAATTATTAGATTAATTGTTAGTTGCTATCTTACTCTGCAAGTTCAGAGTTGAAACCGTAATTTGCTATATTTATAGAGCCATTAGGTTATTTCAAAACAGGAGAGATGAAAAATTAGCGGTACTATTCGGTTTTGAGAGCCGTAAAAAATCACCAAACTGTTGTTGATACCAGTGCTGTCAAAAATAATTGCGGCAACCCTAACGCAAGAAAGGAAGTATAATGATAAATAACCATCTAAGATTGATGTTTTAATTTAGATGAAAGGTTAATTTCATATAATACTCTTTTATTATATAATTTAATTAAAAAAATGCTAAACATGACTGAATGGAAGCATAAGAGTAAATAATATTTCAGATCATTATTATAATTTATATAAAAATTGCTAAACATAACTGAATGGATGCCTGCATCGCTATTTCGCTACCGACTTATCGCTAAAGCATAATTTCATCTCGTTGGTTGTTCAAACATAATTTTCTATAATGAATGATGCCTTTTCTTTGAAAAAATTCTCGGTTAATGTGCAGAATCGCCCACTTATTTGTTTGCCGCTTTTTGCAAGGGTAAAAACAATTGGATTTTGTCAATTTTCTTTCACTTTTTAAGTGAAAACAGGTCGATGTGTACATAGATAAAGTCAAGGGTGTGCGCAGGGCCATATTTGTGCAATTCTGGGATTTTTTTTTTTTTAAAGTGAAAATAGGTCGATGTGTACATAGATAAAGTCAAGGGTGTGCGCAGGGCCATATTTGTGCAATTCTGGGATTTTTTTTTTTAAAGTGAAAATAGGTCGATGTGTACATGGATACCGAGTATGTGCAATTCTTAAAAACGCGTCAAGCAGTGCGTGATTCTGTACTTTACTCAAAATTCTATTGCAGACTTTTCGTCACGGGCAGTTCCCAAATTATTAAATCCATAGGATATCAAAAAAGGATTTAAAAATTAAACTAGTATTTCAATGGCGTCTTAAATATAGAACTATATAGACTTATGCAATCTGAAATC